TAATAATTTATAAATTATCAAGGGTTCATGAGGGAGGGAGGGGAAAAATGAGGAGCTGATACCAAGGACTCAAGTAGAAAGCAAATGTTTTGAGACTGATGATGGCAACAAATATACAAATGTGCTTGACACAGTGGATGGATGGATTGTGGTAAGAATTGTATGAGCCCCCAATAAAATGATTTTTTTTAAAAAAGGGTTACAGTCCCAAGGGCTGAGATAGAAAGTAAATGTTTGGAAAATGATGATGGCAACATATGTGCAAATGTGCTTGATATAATTGATGTATGGAATGTTATGAGAGCTGTAAGAGCCCCCAATAAGATGATGTTTTAAAAAATCATCATGATCTGATGCTCTAGAATGGTCCCATGGGATCCAGATCCATGTTTCAGGCATTATCAAGTGTGCTTGTCTTCCCAGCAGTGCTTAATGCTCCCAGACAATGGGCTCTTACTTCCTGACACATGTAGAAATTTTCCTATCAATAATTTTCAAGATCTGAACCAAAGCTAAGAATGACTGGGTTAATAGATCATACGATATCCTGTGAGCTAGTTTCATGAGGTTGCACCAATCAGGGAGTTTTTATAATTAATGTTCAAATTAAGAAAACGTGAATAGTGCAAAAGTTAATCAATTTTCAAGTACATTTAGGTGAATATACATATGACTGGTTTACGATATATCTGTAGAATTTGGTAGTCAGCATTTCTGTGTTTGTAACTTCAATAAAAAGGGGGAAAGGGGGAACCGATTACAGGGATCTACATATAACCTCCTCCCTGGGGGACGGACAACAGTAAGGTGGGTGAAGGGAGACATTGGACAGTGTGAAATATGACAAAATAATAGTCATTTATAAATTATCAAGGGTTCATGAGGGAGGGGGGAGCGGGGAGGGAGGGGGGAAATGAGGAACTGATGCCAGGGGCTTAAGTGGAGAGCAAATGTTTTGAGAATGATGAGGGCAACGAATGTACAAATGTGCTTTACACAATTGATGTATGTATGGATTGTGGTAAGAGTTGTATGAGCCTCCAATAAAATGATTTGTTTTAAAAGGACTTTATTTTTTCCCCAGTCATACAGTGATTCGGGGGTTCCCTGAATTTTCTGAGGCTGCATTTCCTACTCTAGATTGGCATGTTGCTCTTCCTCCCAGTTTGTGCATTTTCTGTATTCTCAAAAACAAATAGAAATGGGGCCTTCACTGAGGAAAGGGTGTGTCTCTGGCTAAGGAAATAGAGGCATAGGTAAGTACTCGTACTTGGCACTTGGTGGTTATTTCAGAAGGTACATGTACACCGGTTAGCAGTGTTCTTTTTGTTATCAATAGCAAACACACCCATGGGTGGCCACCAGTGTGGACTCTTCTCTCTTGCCTCAGTCACTCACTGACAGTAATTTTGGGATTTTCTTGGTTGTGGATGGGGTCTATTCCATGCATGTGTAGTGTCTGAATACTATACATTTAATTTGCCTAAAAGGGTTCAGTGCATGAGTCATTCAAAAACCAAGGCAATGGCAAACCTGAGAATAGACCAACAACAAAAAGGACTCGTCCCTCAAACTCACCGCCATCGAGGTGATTTCAATTCATAGCGACCCCACAGGACAGGGTAGAACTACCCCTGCAGGTTTCCAAGACTGTAACTCTTTATGGGAGTAGGAAGCCTTATCTACAGCAAGAACTACTGGTGGTTCTGAACTGTTGGCCTTTTGGTTAGCAGCTAAACCCATAACCACTATGCCAGCAAACCATAGAACCGACATTTAGGAAATTTTCTTAACTCTGACATTAATTTATTTAAAGTGTTCAGTCTAGCCTTGCATACAATCTTGGTCACTCATAGGGTCAGTATTTAAATACGACATACAAGTAACTTACACTCAATATCAATGACCTCTACTTATTTCTAATAACTACAAATTGTTTCAAGGTCACTGTTTGAAAAAGGTCATCTTTTCTTGATTTCTGCATCATATAAACAAAAAGTTTTCCCATAGTATTTATTACTCTGAAGATGACAGAATTATTCTTTGAGTTCATTTCTTCCTGCCTTGGGATATAATTTGAGTTGGCCTCTTCAGACTGAGGAAGCACATGCAGCATATTGTGAGTCTCTCCATGCTGTGAGACGGAACCTCATCTAAGTTTAAAACAACCTTATTGCTTTTTATAATGGGCTAAAAGATGACCTGGAGTGGCTCTCTTGACCTACCAGCTATTTTTTCTTCAAATTGGATTGCGAAGTTAACAAATTCCACACTGAGACTAAGTCCGAGCCCCAAGTGTGACAGTGGAACGGCATCAAACAAGGTCTGATACCCTTTTATTTGAACATCGTAGAGATTCAATAGCCTTAGTTCAAATACCTTCCTATGCCGTTTTATATGAAAGTTTAAAACATTTTTTGTAATTGAGGCAACATTGCTTTGGGTATTTTATCCTAAATAGGATATGTAACCAAGATATTTTTTTAAAAAAGAAAACTGAGATAATAAAGTGGATAAATCACATATAAAGATGACCTTAAAAGAGTGCAGACTAGGGCTATCTCTCTATGATTTAACCCAGGGGCTGCTCATACAATTCCTTTAAGAATCTTCATTTAAGAGGATTCATTTGGATTTTGAGGGAATCAAGATTTTCAAAAAGAATTCAGGAATCATTCTGGTGGGTGGGGGCTGAGGACATTTCAGCAAGATTACCTAGCTGAGAGCAAGCCAGTAAAAATAGAACAGTAGGTGGATAGCAGATGTGGGAAATATATTGAAAAGAAAAAGAGAAGGAAGAAAGAGGCTAAATACATATATGAATGCTCATGGGCAATATGTCTACATGCTCATACCAATATCTACTTCCTCTGACATGCTTAATGATCCAGTATTATGCAGTACACGTTACACAAATAATATTTTCCCAAGTAGTCTAATCATACAACATTCAAATGAGGGCGGGTATTCTTTATGCAGACACTGTTAAAAAATGTGTAGCACAACCGCTGAAGACAAAGCGGGTGAATAAGCAAATGTGGTGAAGAAAGCTGATGGTGCCCGGCTATCAAAAGATATAGCGTCTGGGGTCTTAAAAGCTTGAAGGTAAACAAGTGGCCATCTAGCTCAGAAGCAACAAAGCCCACATGGAACAACATATCAACCTGTGTGACCACGGGGTGTCGAACGGATCACTGAAGACAAATGGGTGCATAAGCAAATGTGGTGAAGAAAGCTGATGGTGCCCGGCTATCAAAAGATATAGCGTCTGGGGTCTTAAAGGCTTGAAGGTAAACAAGTGGCCATCTAGCTCAGAAGCAACAAAGCCCACATGGAAGAAGCACCCCAGCCTATGCAACCACGAGGTGTCGAAGGGATCAGGTGTAAGGCATCATCAGAACAAAAAATAGTGAATGATGGGGGAAGTGTGGAGTGGAGAACCAAAGCCCATTCGTAGGCCACTGGAGATCCCCTTGCAGAGGGGTCTCGGGGAGGAGATGAGCCAGTCAGGGTGCGATGTAACAATGATGAGAAATACAACCTTCCTCTAGTTCCTAAAGGTTTCCTCCCCGCTCCCACTACCATGACTCGAATTCTATCTTGCAAGACTGGCTAGACCAGAGGAGGTACACTGGTACAGATAGGAACTGAAAATACAGGGAATCCAGGATGGATGAGCCCTATAGGACCAGTGGTGTGAGTGGCAAAACAGGGAGGGTGGAGGGAGAGTGGGTAGGAAAGAGGGAACCAATTGCATGGAACTGTGTGTGGCCTCCTCCCTGGGGGACGGACAACCGAAAAGTGGATGAAGGGAGAAGTCGGACAGGGCAAGATATGACAAAATACCCATTTGTAAACTATCAAGGGCTCATGCGGGAGGGGGGAGCGGGGAGGGAGGGGAAAAATGAGGACCTAATGTCGGGGGTTTAAATGGAGAGAAAATGTTTTGAGAAACGATGTACAAATGCGCTTTACACAATTGATGTGTGTATGGATTGGGATAACAGTTGTATGAGCCCCTAATAAAATGTTAAAAAAAAAAAAAAAAAAAAAAAAAAAAAAAAAAATAAAATAAAATAAAATGATTTTTTAAAATAAAGAAAAAAAATAAAAAAAAAAAATAAATAAAATCACGGAAAAAAAAAAAGAAACTCTATTTGACAAAAGAGAGGCAAAACCTATCTATTAAAAGAAACAACATCTCAAAAAAATGTGTAGCAATCGGTAATTCTACAAAGATTTTATATATATATATTATATATAATTTTATATATATATATAATTTAGAGATTGCAGAATTTTGATTTTTCAATACAACCCTCCAGTAGTAGTAGCTAAATTAATAGACCAAGCTAAGGGTTCTAAGTAGTATAAACTTAGTAAAAACAAGAAACAAAAGGTTTTACCTCTTGTTTTTCTTGATTTTGATCTACAGTAAGCAAAGTTGGTATTTTAGATGAGTCCGTTTTCTTTGGCTCCCTCTTCAGCACTTTAATCTGTTTAACTTTTGAAAATTATTTAGAACAGTGAAAACATGTTAGTCCCACCTTGAAGTTTTCCTTTCCTTCCAACTGTTTACAGTATAAATTCTTATGGCCACTAAAGTCAGTTTCTCAATTTATTCCAAAGTAACAGAACAAACCATGAGTACAAATGGTGAAAAGTTTACAAATAATCTACCAAGAATTAAAGCATTAAGTGTTTTTAAAATTCTGAGTATAGCTGTTAAGTGAATATGAAATTATTTGTCTGGATCTGTTATTCTCGCTGCCATACTCAGTACTGTCTTCTCGCTACTATACTGATTTTTCACAAGGTGTCACTGTTCTTCAAAGAAACATAAGAACATCTACTCATGGAAAAATGAGTTTCGTTTAAGAATTCAACACATGTCATATGTCTTCATCAACTAATTCCTTGGATTTCTAAAGTGTGTTCCTGCCACTATCGGGAAATATAAACATGGAAAAACACAGGGAGATGATCTGTTCTAGGTCATGTACTAAACTCAGACAAAGCCACTTTCTTAAATTCTATTCTAAAACCTAAATAAGACTGAGCTAATGAAAAGCTTATTCTTTAAAGCTGCCTGGTTTGGGTCCTCTTTTTGATTGTTACAAAAGTTACTTGACACACAAAAATATAACATGAAAAGTGTACGCAGCCTGGTTTTTACACCATAGTAAAACAGGCCCTTTGGGGAGGGGTGCTGTTGTTGTTAGGTGCCATCGAATCAGTTCCAACTCCTAAGGACCTGTGCGCAGCAGATCGAAACACTGCCCAGTCCTGCACCCTCCTGACAATTGTTCCCGCGCTTCACCTCACTGTGGCAGCCACGGGGTCAGTCCATGTGCTCAAGGGCCTTCCTCTTTACCGCTGCCCCTCCCCTTTACCAAATATGATGTCCTTCTCCAGGGACTGGTCTCTCCGGACAACATGTCCAAAGGATGTAAGACAAAGTCTTGCCATCTTTGCCTCTAAAGAGCACTCTGGCCGTCCTTCTTTCAACACTGTCGATTTGTCCTTTTAGCAGCCCATGGTACTTTCAATGTTCTTCTCCAGCACCACACTTCAAACGCATCAATTCTTCTTCGGTCTTCTTTACTCAATGTCCAACTTTCACATGCATACGAGGCAAATGAAAATAATGTGGCTTGAGCCAGGAGCAGTTTAGTCGTCAAAGCAACATCCTTGCTTTTCAACGTGCTGAAGAGGTCTTGTGCAGCAGATTTACTGTGTCTTTCGATCTCGACTGCTGCTCCCAGAAGCATTGATTGTGGATTCAAGCAAGACAAAATCCTTGACAGCTTCCACCTTTTCTCCATTTATCATGATGTTACCTCTTGGTCTAGTTGCCAGGATTTTGGTCTTCTTTACGTTCAGTTGTAATCCATGCTGAAAGCTACAATCTTTGACCTTCGTCATCAAGTGCTGCAATTCCTCCTCCCTTTCAGCAAGCAAAGTTGTGCTATCTGCGTATAAAAAGTTGTTAATAAGACTTCCTAAAAGAAACAAACAGAAAAAGACTTACTCCAATCCTGTTGCTGCATTCTTCTTCATATAATCCAGCTTCTCAGATGATTTGCTCAGCATACAGTTTGAATAAGTGTGCTGAGAGAATACAACCCTGAAGCACACCATGCAATATCTCCTTGTTCCATTAGAACAGCTGCCTCTTGAACTATGTAAAAGCTCCTCGTGAGCACAATGCAGTGTTCTGGAATAGCCTTTCTTCTCAAGGTTACCCATAGTGTGCTATGGTCCACCCAGTCTAACGTCTTGACACAGTCGATAAAACACAAGTAAACATCTTTCTGGTACCCTCTGCTTTCAGCCAGGCTCCATCTCACATTAGCAATACTATCTGTTGTTCCACATCTTCTTCTGAATCTAACTGAACCTCTGGAAGCTCCTTGTCAATGTCTGCTGTATCTGTTGTTGGATGATCTACAGCAAAATTTTACTGACATGCAAGATCAATGGTATTGTGCTTTAGTTTGAACATTCTGTTGGGTCACCTTTCTTTGGAATGGGTACAAATATAGCTCTCTTCAAGTCAGTTGGCCAAGCTGTCTTCCAAATGTCCTGGCATAGACAAGTGCTCCCAGTGCTTTACCCGCTTGTTGAAACATTTCAATAGGGATTCCATCAATCCCTGGGGCTTTGGGGGAGGCTAATGCTTTCAGGTAGTTTGAACTTCTTCCTTCAGCACTATTGGTTCTTGCTCATATGCTACTCTTGAAATGGTGGGCTGTGGACTAGTTCTTTTTGGTGCAGTGGCTCTGCATTCTTTCCATCTTCGTTGGAGGACTCCTGTGTCATTCAATATTTCCCATGGAATCTTTCAATATTGCAACGGGAGGCTTGACTTTTTTTCTTGAGTTCTTTCAGTTTCAGAGATGCTGAACATGTTCTTACTTTTAGGTTTTCTTACTCTAGGTCATTGCACATTTCATCATAAGTTTTTACTTTTATATAGTATTTTACAGCTTGAGAAGTTGAGCTATCCGTTGAAATTTTCTATGAAGCTCTTTGACTCCATCATTTCTTCCATGAGTGAGGTCAGAAGCGATTGATTTCTCTGCACAACATAGCCAATACTTGAAACTCCTTCCAAGGTTTCTAACCCGATGCTGTTTCTTCTTATTCCCACCACTAGCTGCCATCTCCACACAGCCATCTAGTACAAGATTCATACCGGAGAACAGATACCCACAATATTCCTTGAACATGTTTGCAAACATTTAATTTCAATGACAATTTCTTGTCCATAGATTGTTTTTCAATTCTGACCGATGACCTTGGCTCCTTGAGCCTTCTCAGAAGGTTCAGCAGTGCCTTGAAAATCTCTTTAAAGCTTTCTTAATCGCTCTTTAAATTTTTCTTTTACATCTTGTCTCTCATTTGAGTAAGGGGGGGAGGATAGATTTCATCAGCAATATACAGAATATAACCTGTCTCAGCAATATACTATTGTTGATCTAAATCACCGCGTAAAAGAAAAGTTAGAGTACAACAAAGCTCTTGCAATGATGCGATCTGAAGACCTGTAAAGCCTTGCAGCTCATGCTACCTTCCATTCCTTTCATCTCCTTTGACTGTGTTGTGAAGGGCAGCTCTGGAAAATGGAATTCCTTCCTATTGGCTCTGGGGAAATTCAGCTTCCTTTTGTTCCCACTTGCCATTCGGTCACTGTGACCTGTTCGCTCATTAAATACACTCTTCTCCATTTGACTCTAAACAAGCAAATAAACAACGGTTAGTTTGAAGTAGAAGGACCAAGTGTAACTATTTATAGAATAATAAGTCTAGAACTCTAGCCATTTGGATAGTATAAGAGACATAAAAAATGCCTATTTGATACAGTTATTTTAATAATCTAGAGGTAGAACGGAGTACCATTAAAATGTCTAAACAGATTCAACTCTAATCCATAAACCAATGTTCCAAGAAGAAAAGTCTTAATCATGAGACCCACCATCTGTGATTTTTGGATGCTATCTACTGAACTTTGAGGAGCCCTGGTGGGCTGCCCCTTGGGCAGCTAACCACAGTCAGCAGTTCAGAATGCCCTGCCTCTCTTTGGGAGATTTATAGTCTCAGAAACCCACTAGGGCAGTTTGATTCTGTCTTACGGGGTCTCGGGGGCAGTGAGTTTGGCTTTTTACTAATCGTTGACTTCAGACAAATTACTTCCATTAGTTTAACAACCTCTTCTTCTAAGTGCTAAACGATGTGCATAGTCAGTAAAGGATACTGGGAAATGCCAAGGGAGGGAAAATGACTTGTGAACTCATCATTCTGGGTAATCTGTTGTATTACCCTGTTTTTGCTCATTTGACTACATATTGCAAAATTCCCTAGGTCAATAAACATTCTTCTACCATGTCGTATAAGTTTCCACTATGGGATTTTCCCTAATATACTCAGCCAGTTGTTTGCTATGATAGGTTTGTTTTGTCTTCAGTTTTCATCATTTTAAGTTACACTGTAACTAATCATTTCAATTTGAATAAACCAATTTCCTATGTCAAAGAATGTGGAATGAACTATACTCATTTTTCTAGTGAAAAGCAATTAAATTGCTTTTATTTAGCAAATGTTTCTTTTGTATAAATAAGATATTTTAGAAAAACTTAGAAAGTAAAAATGCACTCTTCAAGAAAACAAGCTGATTCTGCCCAGATCGCATATTAAATATACAGATACTGTATCTTTTATGTATTAAAAAATTAACTAAAAGTATAAAAGCATTAAGGAAATAATGCCCTAGTTAATCTCAAGAAGAAAAATAATGGAAACTGTATGGGGTGAATCTGTTGGACATGTGGGAAGGACATGAATTTTTGGAGACCAAATGGTGAACTGTTTGGATTGAGTTGTGTCCCCTCAAAATATGTCTTGTAAAGCCTAACCTCTATCCTGTATTTATAATCCTATTTAAGATATATACATATATCATTTTCTATGTAAAATTATATATATAAACAGTTTTATTGGCACTTAATCCACATATCATATAATTCAATAGTTCAATCATTTCAGGAAGAGTTGTGTAATAATTACCTCAATCAATTTTAGAACCTTTCTTCTTTCTTGAACTTATTAGCTTCCCATTTCCCCCCAACCTCCCCCAGTCATGTCCCCAAGAAAACATGAATCTAGTTACTGTCTCTATAGATTTACCTAGTGTCGATTGTGTCTTGAGTCAATCTCTCTCTCTCTGAGATATCAAGGAGATTAAGCAAGCAAGGAATTCTGAGAGAGAGAGTTGGGGTAATACAGATGCCAAGAGCTGTCAAGGAAGCAGGATTTAGAAGCTAAAGCGATAAGGACGCTCTCTAGACAGAAAGGCTTCCTTTAGAGCTGATGCTCTAAATCCAGACTTCCAGACCTATAGACTGTGGGAGACAATCCATCCACATGTGCTATTTCTATTACAGCAGTACCAGATAACTAACAGCAACTAAAAACAGATTTCTAAAAAGAGTTGGAGTCCCAAAAGGAAAGAGAGTGTCAGTGCCTATGGGGGCGGGTGGATGTTGACAGAGGCTATATTTGACTAACTAGCTTATTGCCTTACTTGAGTAGGACCGGTATCCTCTTGCCTGCTATTAGGTATAGCATGTCCAATAGACTTCGAAGAAGTACGTCTCTTTTTTGATTTTTCAGTTAATCTATTGTTTTAAAACAAATGAAAAGTTATTAGAATTCCTTGGAAGTAGCTTTGTTTCAACTTCTGTCATCATAAGCTATACCATGGAAGTATACTGTGTGAACACTGTGGTAGTTACATGATCTGGTGTCAATTTGAGAGGATTATGAGTGAAGGGGTGGAGTCTGGCCCATCAATCAAGATGTAACCAATGAGGCCTCTGTGTGGGCATGGCCTTCTCCTGAGAATCCTGGGAATTCCTGTTTTTCCTCCTTGGAGGGGGGAGACACACTCTTTCTACTGACAAGGTTCACTCCCGGAGACACACTCTCCTGACAAGACACAAGACGCTACACCCTGGGAGCTGGAGAAACCACGTGGACCTACTCTGATGCAACCAGATCTCTGGAGCTGGAGAAGTAACATAGAGACCCCTGCCACCGCTGAGATGCTTACAATGCCACTGGATCCATAAGACTTCCAACTCACTGGCCTGTGATCCTCCTACATTCGGCTTCATTGCATGCATTTCATGAGTCTGAAGAGAACTTTATAGATTGGTATCGGACATAAGGGGTAATATTGGACTTATGGACTTGATCTGGACTGGGCTGAGACATTTTCTCAATATTAAACTGCTCTTGTATACAAACTTCTTTCTTTATACATATGCGTGTTTATGAATTTGTTTCTCTAGTCTACCCAGAGTAACACAAACACGAAGTGCCAAAGTATAATAGTTGGTTCTTCGGAGCCCTGGTGGTGTACTGGGTGACAAGTTGGGCTGCTAACTGCAAGGTCAGTGGTTTGAACCCACCAGCCAACCACTCTGAAGGACAAAAATGAAACTGTCTGCTCCTGTAAATATTTACAGTCTCAGAAATCTGTAGGGAAGTTCTCCTCTGCCCTATAGGGTCACTGTGAGTTGGAATAGACTCAATGGGTGAAGCACCAATCACTCTAATCAGAGAAGTGATAAGAAAGCAGAGTGAAGCTAGCTCATGGCTAAATCTGGTGATGACAACCATGTTGTGGGGGTCTGTTGGTTTACAAGGTCCCTCTGTAAGTTTCTAAAGGCCTGTGCTTGCTGTCCAAGGTTGACTTATAGCCAGTATTAAGTAAACCATGGTTTGGGGGTCACTTGGAAAACATTTGGGCCCTTTGTAGCCTCCTATACCTTTGGACCAACACAGACATGTCCATTTGCCTACCTCTGCAGACCATTAAGCCTCACAACATATAGAACAAGCCAGTCTGCTGGGATGTGCTTTAACTGATGAGCCTACATCTATTGCCTAGATGTTGTTAGCTACATTAAGCAGCCACTGCCTAATGGTGGCCCAATGCACAACTGAACAAAAATCTGTCTGGTCCTGCACCATCCCTATGGTCAGCAATGGATTGGTACTTTGTCCTCCAGAAGGTTTTCACCAGCTGACATTCAAAAAATAGATCATTAGGTCTTTCTTCCTAATCTGTCTTAGTCCGGAAGCTCCTCTAGAAGGTGTTCAGCACCATCTCAGCATTCAGGCCTTGACTGAAAGATAGGTGGTGGCTGCATATGAGATTCATTAGGAACTGACTACAGATATTCTAATGGAAGGAGAGACTTCTATCATTGAATGACCAAAGCAGATTCACCAAACACAAACAAAAAGACCAATGGCCATCAGTTGCTTAAGACTCATGGCAGCCTGTGTGTGTCCGAGGAGAACTGTGCTCTGTAGAGTTTTTAAGTGTGTCTGATCTTTTTTACAAGTAGATGGACAGGCCTTGGTTGTGTAGATTCAGACCACCAACCTTTCGTTAGCAATAAAAAGCCGTATCCTGTGTACCACGAAAGGACAGTTATAGGAGTCTCTCCAAATTTAGAACTGGCCTCAAGCCTTCCTGGACAGACCCTCATCATTCATCACACTGCCCTTGATCAACCAGTCACGGTTAATCAGCAGCTAAATCTGAAGCTTCCCAATATGCTGTTTCTCCCCAAAATATTGACTGCAAAAGGTTATTTGACTTGAAAGATTTTCAGCTATCCTTTCTCCATTTAAAGAGCTATCTACAATAAGTAGTAAAGGTTATTTTGTTATACCAAGACATCAATAACAGAATTTAGGTCATACCACCTTTTCCTCTTCAGAAAGGAAGAGATTTTCCTAAGTCTTAAAAAAAGATAGAAAAAAGATATGTTTCCAAAATTCATTAGCAAAAATTAAATGTGTTCATAGCCAAGAAAAGCTGGTATCTCATATAGCACTCGTAAGAACTACCTAATAAGTGGTCCCTTTTGGACTTCTACTTTCAATATACCTTCATCAAGTTATGTTTCTATGGAGACACTATGAACTTGGCACACAAAGGCCCAGGTCATACGTCTCTTCTCCCTGTTGCAGCTCACCTTGCATTGGAGTGGGTATGATTTGAATTGGGGTTTGCCGCCATGAAGTTATTGCTAGTTAGATTAATGGGTGGCATCGTCATACAACCTCCGGCATGGAGATCATCTTTCATGGCATTAGAGTTAATGCTGGAGTTGGCAGGGCTTGCTGGCTCAGTGATGACAGGTTTTGTATCTTGAGACATCGTGTGAGCACTTTCAGTTACTTCCTGTTGACAATGTCCGCCTTCATAATCTGTCCTTCTGGGCTCTGCATTATCTCCTTTTCCTCCTTTGGCCCTCACAACTCTGACTTTGACCTCCTTGGGCCTCTTCTCCTTTTCTATTTCCTGGAATAGATGCATCCAAAATCTGAGTCATGAGAAGTTATTTTTGTTACTCGAATGCTAACTATAATATAGTTACACTGACTAAAAAGAAAGCTAAATTTCCTACCTTTCCCAAAACTGTAGTATTTAGCAGTGTATTGCTATAAATTGCTTTTTTCTCATCTTTCATAAGTTCATTTTCTTTAGAATTCTCCTTTGGCTTTATGAATGAATTGACTTTTGCTTCTTGTAGCAATTTAGCTTTTAGTTCTGGTAGGAATCTGAGAAAATAAAATATAGCAACCAAAAACCCTTTGTATCATTTATCTTTAACGAACCAGTTGACTGATTAAGTTACAGTTTACTTACAGCAGAAATAATCACCAACAGATGTCACAATGTATATTTAATTTTTACCATAGGAATGTACTGTATAAAACTTTTACAAAATAGATTATATTAATTTGATTCCTTTTGTAATGTGAATTTTACTCAATAAAAGGCATTTTATTATTTATTCTTTTTATTTTTTTGAGGCCCCCACCAACCTCTTCTGCACCAACCCCATCCCAAAGCCAAAAGTTATCATTTTTAATTGCCATCCTTTTCAATAAAGATTCAGATCACTTTATCTGTTTTGTGCTTCTTTAATGTAACAAGACTTAAAAGATGAACTATTGAGTCTTTGAAATCTTACTCGAGGGAAATATTTTCATACAAAAAATAACAGACTACGTCAATATTGCAGAATAGGTTTTGTTTTGGTTTGGTTTTCTTTCTCTTGCACTTATTTCAAAGTAGAAAAAGACGTTTACATTGGCTCAAGATTCAAAAGACAACACTTGCCAGTATTGAACAAGAAATATGCTTAGTCACCAAACCAACAAACCAAACTCCCTGCCTCAAGTATATTCCAGCTCATAATGACCCTATAGGACAGGATAGAATGGCCCCTGTGAGGTCCGGAGACTGTAACCCTTTATACGACGGAACGCCTCCTAGGATCTTGCAGCCCATTGCACTACCAGGGCTCCCTAGCTTAGGAACAGTGCGTGAAACAGTAAAGAACGACCCAGTGTGGCTTGCTGACTGAATGAGAAAAACTACTATGTCTGTCAAAGTCCTCTTGCATTGCAAGTGGTTCACAAAGGAAGAGGACTTTCTTCAAGCATTTAGACTCAAAATGCGTTTGCCCCATAATACATGTTAGCAGGAGAGACCAGTCCCTGGAGAAGTGGAGGGGCAGCAAAAGTGGGGAAGGTCTTCCACAAGATGGAGAGGCTGCAGCAATGGACTCAAAACATAGAAAACTGGTGAGAATGACGCATTATCGCGCAGTGGTTAGCTCTGTTATACAACACAGGGTCGCTATGAATTGGAACCCACTTGGCACCACCTAACAGCAATACCCAAATACCCAAGAGAAGTCAATTTCACCAGTGTAGAATTGGTACCAAGCAACTTTTTTGGTTGACAACTGTTTTGATGCTTTTCATCAATGACACTTTTAATATATCGTCTCATTTTTATCTTAAAAATGCCTGAAATACCTGTATTCTAGTTAATCTCTCTAGACTTCTTTTTCCTTTTTCTTATTTTAATCTATGGCAGTTCCTGGATATGTCCACCCTTGACCTTAAAGCCACCACATATTTAATTACAACCATATTTCTAACCTTCATGTCTAAAGATCAACTGAAAGATTTTGCAGTTAATTAAAAAAATTTTCTGTTTCTTTCAAAGATCAAATGGGCACTGGTATTTTTAAGAAATATGACTGACCTGTAAATGTAGAGTATCAGTGTATATGATATAATGAGTGTGTGTGAAGCACAGAAGTGCGGTTAAGAGGCATGATCACCATCTGTGGTAGTTACATAATCTATTGTCAGTTTGAGACTTAAGATTGAAGGGGTGGAGTTTAGCCTGTCAATCAGATCACAGCTTGATGACCTCATTTGGACGCACTAAAGAGATAAATAGCTCACTGGAAGTGGGACACATGCTCACTTCCTGCAAGATATTCCTGCAGACAAGACACAGGGAGCCCTGATACGATAGAGCCCTGACACTGAAGGAGCCACATGGAGACACACCAGCACTAAGATGCTTCCATTGTCATTGGATCCACAAGACTTTCCACCCACTGGCCTGTGATCATCCTGCATTCGGCGTCATTGCATGTGTTGCATGAGTCTGAAGAGGAATTTACAGATTGGTATTGGACATATGGGCTAATATCGACTTATGGACTTGACCTGGGCTGGGCTGGGATGTTTTCTCAATATGCAATTGCTCTTGTATATAAAGTTCTTTCTTATACACATATGAGTGTCTATGAATTTATTTCTCTAGTCTACCCAGACTAACACACCATCTTCAGAGATCTTTCAACTTGGTGAGGAGGATTAGATAACAAACTCTAAACAAGAATAAATAAGGCAGAGAAAAATAATCATTTGGGAAGTGAGCGCTAACTATAGTCTGTTGTTGAAGTTGTTGGTGCAGTCGAGTCAGTTCTGACTCACCGAAACCTGATGCACAATAGAATGCGGCCCCGTCAGGTCCGGAGCCATCCTCTCAGAGAGTACTTCTTAAACCCATAGCTGAAGCTACCGGGTCAACCCATCTCTTGAGAGGCCTTCTTCTTGGTTGCTGACTGTATTTGCCACACTCGATATGTTCCTGCTCCAGGTACATATCCAAAGTATGGGAGACAAAGTCCTGATTTCCTTACTTCTAAGAAACATTCTGGTTGTACTTCCCTCAAGACAGGTTTGACCTTTCTTCTGGAAGTTCATGCTACATTTAGTATTCTTCACCAATACCATACTCCAAGGCATTGATTCTTTTTGGTCTTCCTTATTGTCTAGCTTTCATGTGCATATGAGGTGATTGAAAACACTATGGCTTGCTCAGGCATATCTTAGTCCTCAAGTGATATCTCTGCCTTTTAACACTTTAAAGAGGTGTTTTGCAGAATATATACCCAGGACAAAACATTACTTGATTCTATGAGGGCTTATTCTGCATCCAAGTAAAATGAAGTCCCTGATAACTTGAGTTTTTTCCTCCA